TCCCCACCCCCACCCTCTGTCTCCCTCTCTCCCCCGCTCCTCTGCCACCCGCATCTCTTTCCCCTTCAGCACACCTTTGTACCTATCTGCCTCCTTCCACCCGTCCCTTTTACTCTCCCCAGAAGTCTCACATGGAAATGGAAGCCATAGCTACTCCCCTCCCCATGCACTGGTCTCCCCCTGGCTATCTGGCTTTGCCCCTCCCAGAATAAGAGATGAGTGAGACTGTGACTGAGTCAGGAGATCTAGTTTTAAAAAGTTCTCCAAGTGGAGACTAGGACACCCTGGGGAGTGTCCAAGGCCTTTTTAGGGTTCAGGGCATCTACGAGGTCAAAACTATTGTCATCTAAGGCAAAGGTGTCACTAGCCTTCTTCACTCCTTCACTCACGAGCGCACAGTGGAGAGTTCCAGAGGCCACATGACATATGACGTGGCAACAGACCGAATGGAGAAGCAGCTATGAGAACACAGCTGCTTCCTACGGCGCAGACACTGACGGGATCTGCCAAAACGTAGCGGTGCCACCCCTCTCACGGGATGTCTTGAAATATACTCAGCAGGGCCCAGTAGGAGCCCTTGCCTGGCTTGTCCGGGGAGCGCGCCACCTTGACGAAGCAGTCGTTGAAGGACAGCGAGTGGCGGATGGAGTTCTGCCAGCGCTGCTGGTTCTCCCGGTAGTAGGGGAAGAGGTCCATGATCCACTGGTAGATCTCGCTCAGGGTCAGCATCTTGCCGGGCGCCTGCTGGATGGCCATGGTGATGAGCGAGATGTAGGAATACGGCGGCTTGGCATGGGCCAGGGACCGCCGGTACCCTTTGGGCATCTCTTTCCCGTGCACCAGCCCTGGGCCTGGGCCCCCGTACCCTGAGCTGCTGCCTCCACCACTGCTGGCACCCAGGCCTGGGAAGGTGGGGCCCAGGGGCGCTGTGGGGGCCGGGGGCGCCAGGGGTCCTGAGGGCAGTGGGGAGGCGGGGAGCCCCCCGGGAGAATAGGGAGAGCTCAGAGGGTTCAGGGTCATGTAGGAGTTGAGGGGGGCCATGGTGGGCACTGGGGTCACTGGAGAGTAAACCTGCATGGAGAGAAAGAGAGATAGGGAGGGTCAGTGAGTCCCCACTCGTTGCTGGACCCACTGTGTGTCCATCTGCCTGTCGGTCTGATGGCTTTGAGACCCCTTCCATCCTTTTCCCCGTAGACAGCTGTTTCTTGAAGTCTTTCTCTCATCCCTCCTCACACACCCATCCCCGATCTCACCCCCTACCCCCCACCCCCCACGCTCCAATACCCTGGAGCTCATGCTTCAAGAGTTCTCCAGCCCTGACCGGCTTGGCTCAGTGGATAGAGCGTCAGCCTGTGCACTCAAGGGTCCCAGGTTCGATTCCAGTCAAGGGCATGTACCTTGGTTGTGGGCACATCCCCAGTAAGGAGTGTGCAGGAGGCAGCTGATCGATGTTCCTCTCTCATTGATGTTTCTAACTCTCTATCCCTCTCCCTTCCTCTCTGTAAAAAA